AAAGAAGATGAAGGTGATGACTGGATTGGGTGTGACGCTTGCGGACAATTCTTTCATGCCAGCTGCGTCAAGCTTGATTATGGAGTAGCATTGCAAGATATGTTTTACTGTCCATAGTTTATAGCCAATATTGCCATTTTTACTATCTGTAATTAAACATGAAAAGAAAGGAGAATTTCCTGTTTTCCTTTTTTACCAAATACTACCATGAAGTATATGTGTTACTGAAAACTTTACAGTTGATTTTAATTAAAAAAAACATTCGACAAATTTAAAAAAAAACATCTAGGCTTACAGTCAAACTGGATGTTCTCTTGTGAGCAACATTGCAATATTGTCCCACAATATTGCAATTTTGATAGGCAGATTGCTCTGAGCAATTTGCAAGTGATGCGAACAAATTGCAAGTTGAAATTCAGAAACGATTTGTAAACAAAGCCTCTGATTGGACTATAAGAAAGGGGGAAGCACCAATCCAGTTGCTCAGACTATTTGATTGGCTTCCCTCTTTCTTATAATCTAATCCGAGGCTTTGTTTACAAATCTTTTGTGAATTTCAACTTGCAATTTGTTCGCGTCGGTTGCAAATTGCTCAGAGCAATCTGCCTATCAAAATTGCAATATTGTGAGACAATTAATATTGCAATGTTGCTTGCAAGAGAACATCCGGTTTGACTGTAAAATGGCTCGCTACAGTTGTGCTTACTTGCCTAACATCTCTAAAATAAAGGTTTACTTGTCAACATCTGTGGAATATTTACAACTCGGTTTTGGTATTTCAGAAACAAAGTTGGTGACCTATCTTTTTTATTTCATATATCAATAAGGAATGATGTTCTGCTACAGTGAAAGTTTATTAGTTAATAAAAATTTTTAGTGTAGAAATCTTGTAATAAATTTTTCACATTTAAAAAAATCGCACACCAAGGATTTTTTTTAGACTTTTTAGACTCATCAACCTTGTTTTTGAAATACAGACAATTATATGTCAAAAATAGTAGGTTATGTGCTTTCGCTGTGTTGCTATGGCAACACCAACATTGTCAAAACCGAATTGTAAATATTCCACAGATGTTGAATATTGCTGTTATAAATAGGAAAGCATGGGTGATCAGCATGAGTAAACTTTTATTTTAGAGATGTTTGACAAGTAAGCACAACCGTAGGGAGCCTCCTTAAAGCACATTTGATCACATTCACATGCAAATGTGTGCTATAAAAATCTTAATCTTTTCTAAAATTACTCTTTAATCTTTCTATTAAGTTCAGAAATTTATTGTATGGTATGTAACCCATTAATGTGAGCCCATTAAGACTTTTCCCTTCACGAGTAAAACACTCGCGGTTTGAAGTATGGGACATTTGGCACATTGCATGTTAAGCTTCATTAGCATTCGATCCGCTATCTTTAGAGCAGTAGCCACAACACTATTGCAGCAATTGGATGTATTATTACCATTTGTGGGCATTGCTATTTAGTGTTTGTACATTTTACTAATACTACACACAGTGGTCTATAAAGTTACTGACTCACGGTGTATTTTGTTGTTGATATTTTATAATACATAATGCACCTATAAAGGTTAACCCCCAAGAGGGAGGGGGGGGGGGCGGTCGGGCATATGTAGGGTATTTGATCATCAATTGCATCCCCACCCTGGGGATTTTGATTAGCATTTTAGTCCTGAGTTAGGGCAATTTGAATGAATGACTTTTATTAATATATGTGTATTAATGGTGTGTATTTGACCAATATTTATTGCCCGATGGTGGGGCATTTGATTGAAAATTCGCTCAAAAAATCAAATGCCCGACTTAAAAACATTGAAGGTGCATATTGCATATATGAATAAAATTTATAGCTGTAAAATTATGTAAAATTATGCACGATATTGTTAACAAGAATTATTTAATATTTAATTAAACAAAAGTATTCTCACCTGAGAGCTCTTTTTATTCTATTCTCCAAATTTAGATAAGTAAAAATAGTAAAAACACTAAACTTCTAATTGGGCAAAGGACTAATAAATTGTAAAATATCACCGTGCCGGCCATGTTGTATTTTTTACACTAATACAGCCGGAAGTTACGAACATGTTACGAAGATTTTACGAAGACATTACGAGATTATAGTGGAAAACCGCTTTCCAATTGTATTGACGTCACCCTCAAAGAACGCCCGTGAGGTAGTCAACCCCATCACAAGGAGTGTATACAAAAGTTAAATGCTGGTTTTTGCATGAAAATACTTCCTTAAATCAAATTCTGGGCTATTTTGAAAAGAGCAAAAGAAGAAATGGACTATTTGTATTTGTAAATAAGCAAGAATGGCGAACAGAGTAAAAAAATTAACATAATAAAGCGAAACATTTCTCGTTCGAAAATTGAAATTTCAATTATAAATCTACAACTTCAACCACGATATTCAATGTAAATCGATAATAAAGTTTTTAATACCTTTTTTACCTTTATTTGATAAATTGTGTGTTCTACATTATTGCATTTTGTATTGGAATAGGATAAATTATGAATTATACACAAATATTTAAATTTACAAATTATTCCCAATTTGAGGATGCTGGGTGCACTGGCTCAGAGTTTGTATTAGTGCCTATTTATTATTGATTATTAGTGCCTCTAAATCTCTAATGTACAAACATTGTAATCTGTTACTTAATACCATAAAGAAACTGTTGATAGCACATATATTAAATGACTATTAATCAAAATGAACTAAATTTCGACCATTATATACTTAGCATATTTCCCCCAATATTGAGGGAATAATTTCTCCTATTTATTTTTATAATAAGCCAATATTGCCCAACTGTGAAGTCAATATTGCCCGACTGGCCTAGTCTGCCCAACAATTGAGCCCCGCCCTGTACGCCTATGACCAGGCCTACAGGTGGACCCCCAACATGATTGGTCACAATTTTTATTTCTCCAAAATTTCCCCTCCCCATGTACAAGGATTGACAGTTTGATTAGATTGGGAAAAAACAGTTATATTGGGTCATTCCAGAAAACACCCATACCACTCCCACAGAGGAAATTGAAAGTTAATCCCTCATACCCCTTTGGATGTCCTAATACATTTATTATTATCAGAAACAATTTTTTCCCCCTCCCCCTCTGAACGGCAGAAATTTCCTCTGTGGGGGGAGTGTGGATATTTTCTGGAACGACCTGTTTGAGAAATGCTTTTGCTAGTGATGGGCGATACCAGGATTTTTAATTCGATACCGATACCGATACTTTTAAGATCAGTATCGGTCGATACCGATACCTATTTCGATACCAAAATGAACACAAAATTTCAATTTTCGATACCGGAAGTGAGTACTTACATTGCTAGTATCGGCCACTTTCGATACCTGCCGGTTAACGTGTGTAACCTAAATAAAACTAATAAAAAGCTAATAAGTAAACCAAAAGCTCGAAACGTAATAAATATTTTTTAAACATGACTTGGCGCACCACATTTGGAATATTAAGAGTTATTTTAGTGGTTCATTAAGTCTTATTCAACCAAGAAGTGAAATTAAACAAGTCGTTTAAAAATGGGTGCAAGTATCGAACGATACCACGTCAGTAATCGATACCGATACCGCTGTTTGTGGTATCGCTGGTATCGAATACCGAGTACTCGGTATCGCCCATCACTAGCTTTTGCACAAATTTTAAATTTTCTTACAATTTTCTTGTATGTCAGAACACTGTTCTAAGTTGCAACTAAAATGGTGTAACCAGAGGGCTAAAAGGCTCAAGTCAATTCCAGTGGTGTAACCAGAGGGGGTGGGGGAGGGGGGTCAAAATATTTTAAATGTTCTGAACTTGTTTGTAATTAATTAGAGTTGAACATGTTTTAATTGCAAGGCTATTTCAAATCACCAAAACACATTAAAATAGCCCCCCAAAATGGCACTTTATTAACTAGAATTTAAAAAGTTTACATTGTACTATATTATACATGGATAGCTTGGGAGTCCAAATATATTTTTACATACTAACAAACTTTATTCAAACTAGTGCAGGCCCCTCCTGGGGATTTCAGTCCCCCATGAAGGCCTTAATTAGAAATTCTGACTACATCACTGCTCAATTCCAATGCCAATGATGGTGTTAGAGTAGGTTAACAAACTAGTGTGTATTATGAGATAATCCATTGAACACCAATGATCTATCCCAACATATAAAATCATCTGGTGCAGTGGTGGATCCAGCAAAGTTTTTTGGGGGGGTGCTAACCAATGGCGAAACGAGCGCCGAAGTACCACAGAAATTTTTCACAGCATAGTACCACAGAAAATTTTTAAAATTTGGGTCTCTGAAATGGCATTTCCAGCATTCTGAGAAAACATTTTGGAAAATTTTTAGATTCTCAAAACATTTAAAAAATTCAGAATATTTAATATTGGCTATTCCACTATTGTCAACTAGTGATACCCAACTGAATTCCTTAACATAAGTTAGTTAGAATTGGGATAAACATCATTTTTGCATCCCCCCCCTCACATGCACCCCTGTTGACCAGAGCCTGGGGGGGGGGGTGCACACCAGAGTAAAATAAAAAGTAAGACACAATGTGTAACTTAATAGGTAAGGTTAATGGCCAGAACTAAATGATAAACAATATTTTATAATAAACCCAAAATAGTTCAGCACCATTGGTTCTTATAACACTGTTCATTCCAATACTAGAACATCAGCAATTAACAAAAGTTGGAGTTTCATCCGATGACATGGTATGCTTCTAACCATGCTGTCCATGCAGCTATCTGACAGTTTTTAATTTTCAACATTGATTCCCAAAGTCATTATTCTCAAGATTTGCCAAAAAGGTTTTCCAAATATTAAAGTGCAGAATTATATTACATCACGCATCACTGTTCATTTTACATTCTTCAAGTAGATGCATGTTTACAGTACAGTATATCTTGTGCATTTATAATTAAATCTTGCAATATCTTGTTCAAAACCCTCAAATCCAAGATAATCGGCAGCCAGCCATGTTACCAGTAAGATTTCTAGTCTGTTAATTTTGAAATGACCAAGGTTGTACTCGAATATAAATATTTATACTTTAATTATTGAATAGCCCCTGTATATCGCTGACAAGGTATGCTGTTGTCGCGATATAAGATGTTCTTTTGCTCGCCAAAGGGCTAATTTTACGCATAATTGTATCTCTAAATTGATCATTCCTGACTTTAAATTCCAAAAGCCACGCGAGAAGCAGTTTAAGACGTCTTTACAAGTCCAAATATGATAAATTGCAACAAATAATCCATTCTCACTCCTTGCGTAAAAATATGCCCAGTCAGCGTTTTTAGCTGGAGCTACTGTTTACTTCCGCTTCCGGGGGCACCACTGTTCTATGGTGTTCCGGTTTGGATTATCCCAGGGCTTCTCAATCTCGTACCCAGAGCAATGCCTGTGCGCGGGCTAGGATGGCATTGGCTCTGGGGAAATTGAATTTTTCCTGTGCTGTGATTGGTTTAACGTCTATCAATCATGCATGCCGACAAAGAACCGGAACCCTAGAATTTAGGGGTTCCGGTTTCAATTTCCCCAGAGCCAATGCCATCCTAGCCCGCGCACAGGCATTGCTCTGGGTACGAGATTGAGGGCTTCTGAGAGCAATAAGCGCAGAAGCCCTGGGTACGAGGTTGATAGTTCAGTGAAATTTCCTTGAAAAAGGAAATTTCCTTGAAAGTGGAAACGCTGTGCGTTTATATAAAGTTTACCAACACATCCTCACTCTAAGAATACCTATTATAGGTATATGTCAAATGTCCCAAGAATATGCATAATAGATAGTTCAAGGCCTTCAATCATCTGTAGTACCCAGAGCCCTTAAGGTTGGTCCGCGTATGTTTTTTGGCGGCAGATTCGGCAGATGTTGGCGGCAGAAATTTTGCGGCAGATTTGCATTTGCGGCAGAATTCGACAGGATCAGTGAATTCAACAATATTCAATACTCAGCCTACTGACGTTCGGATTGTGTTTATATATTATGGAAACGATGGCAAATGATAACACGGAAAACGCGGAAAAGCAAATGGTACGATTCATTCTCCCCGTTTATATTAAATTTAATAATAACCATCAATTGAAATTTGCATATTCATATATCAGATTTTAGTATGTAAATTTATATTGTCATGAATAAACATTTCTAATTCAGTAATTGTAATTCTATTCTAAAAAGATCTAAAGCCCTATTTGTAGTCTTTATCGAAGACAGAGTTTCTGTGTTCACAGTAGGGAGTTTTCGTAGGTAAATTCTAAGTTCTAATGGATTTGTGACAAATATAGCTGATACAGTAGCTCAGTCACTCAGTGTTATTAAAAGCACTGTTTTTAATAGTTCTGTCACACGTTTCTAGTATTAAAATCAAATATTAAAATACATAGTCAACTTAGGATTTATCAAGGATTGATCCCACTGTTATCACAGAAACTTATAAATAATTGACAGTGTAAACCAGTCTTAAGAAATATAGATATAGTCCTTATCAATCTTTGCCTTTGTATTTGTGGTGAACACAGAATGGAGCCACAAAACGATGCTTTAATTGCCATGATGAACACAATTCTGGTGCCAAAAAGTGCCGTACTTGTCTGGTGCAAAGGAAAACTGACAAGATCGACATAGAGGATGAGAGAATTCGGGATATGAAAACTCCTAATGCTTCAAAGCAATTTGACAAGCTAAAATATCGGGTAAGACCATGTATATATGCTTTATATATATATATATATATATGCTCTCTATATATATGCTCTCTATATATATGCTCTCTATATATATATGCTATATATATATATATATATATATATATATATATATATATATATATATGCTATATATATATATATGCTATATATATGCTATATATATGCTATATATATGCTATATATATATATATATATATATATATATATATATATATATATATATATATATATATATATATATATATATATATATATATATATATGAATACACCCTTTTGATGATTATGTCATTTGGCTTGGGAGCCTTGCCCTCATGAAGGGTTCAGGAAGATTGCCCCTGCTACTTCTGTACGAGTGGTGAGTACTGTTGGTCTATGGTAAGTTGAAGAAACAACTGGGAACTGTGATGGAGGAAAGATGGATACGGAACAGTAACGTCAGTGGATCTGTGATATATATATATATATTTATAATATAGCATTTGTAAATTCTGAACGCTGATTGGCTGAGAGCCATGTTGATATAACTCAATGTCAACACAGAAATGTCGGAAAATTTCTTTCTTTATATTTCTTTGTGCTATATTATAAAACAAATATAAAACATTTTTTCCGTATTGATATACAGTTATATCAACACTCGTGGGAATTGGGAAAACTCGAAATTGTGTGAAAACACTCCACCCTTCGGCCTTCGGCCGTTGTGTTTCCACACAATTTCTCGTTTTCCCACACAATTTCTCGTTTTCCCAATTTCCACTCGTGTTGATAAATGCGGGGTTTTTCAAACCTTCGTAACGCTTGATATAAGGATAAAACGTGGATATGCTAAAAATATAACACATTACATTGCATAAAATATAACTGTATATCAACATGGAAAATGTTTTATATTTGGTAAATATATATATGCTCTCTATATATATGCTGTATATATATGCTGTGTATATATATATATATATATACACTGTATATATATATATATATATATATATATATATATATATATATATATATATATATATATATATATATATATATATATATATATAGTTTTTCGTTTTACCTATATTACGCTCTATCTATATGGTATTGAGCATTGTTTGTGTTTCGTAAACCAAAATCTTAAGCTATATATATATATATATATATATATATATATATATATATATATATATATATATATATATATATATATATATATATATATATATATAGTTTTTCGTTTTACCTATATTACGCTCTATCTATATGGTATTGAGCATTGTTTGTGTTTCGTAAACCAAAATCTTAAGCTATATATATATATATATATATATATATATATATATATATATATATATATATATATATATATATATTTAGTTTTTTTTTAAGATATAAATTATTGATCCACTCCCCTTTGGATATCAAGTAAAACACTAAAATTTTGCCATTTTTGGGAGTAAATCACATATAGGCTTAAATGTGTCTGAGCTTCAAGCAATTGTCATACATATGTTTATTTTGGTTGCAGTATAGTAATAGTAATTTTGTAATTTAATTAATTTGTGAAGAAGTTAGAATGCCTCGCATGGGACTTATATGTCTTAATTGTTTCACTGTCCAATAAGGTTTACAATATAAATATTTATGTGCCCTAGAAAAAATAAGATGAAATACTTTTCCTCCAGCATTGGATATCCTGACTCTTCAATGCGGTTGCCTATATAAAATAAACTGGCTCGTTGAGGTAATTAGTTAGGATACTCATTTGTTTGGATAATGTTTGGAAATAATTTAATGAAATCACTTGAGTATATGAATTATCAGTGTCACATCTCCACAGTGAGTGTGTCATTAATATCAACAACCCTAAAACCTTATTTTCATTAATATTTTGCATTATCTGATAGTATCTGAAATACTGTAACTACTAAACAGTACTTAGCTGTATTTTCATTGTTTAGGCAAAGGTGTTGAATTTTCATTGTGGATGGGATATTGTAGTGATGGCCAGTCATAGACATAGTCGTGGCACAAGTTTTGTGAGATTTGGGACTTCTGGTCTGGGGGAAGAGTTTATTGGGGCTAATGAGCACCTATCAAGTTCCCCAACTGGAAAAGCAGTTTTTAATGTCTTTTCTTCATATATCAGAGGTAAGTTGTTTGTATTTTTTTTGTTGGGCATTTTTTTCAGAAATTACCTTTTGGTAGGATAAATACAGCATTATTTCAATAGACCATGAATAGACATTTTTCATAAAGACGTCAACAAGTTTCATTACTGACGAGCCAATCAAACTTAGTGTAACATCTTGTATCCCACATTTGACGTCATTATGAAAAAATCCATTAAAATTTTCAGCATGAGTAGTCAAATGTACAATTATATGAGCGCCAAAGTAATGAAGGGAATAATCATAGTCTTCATAGTTTTAAATAAGTTTAGCATATCACTTGGCTTGTGGAAATATTTTCAACGGCACTCACAATGCAAATGAAGTTAATATGCAAGCTTTGACTGTTTCCCATCATTCCTTTAGCGCTTATATAATTGAAGGTTTATGGAGGTGTTAAAGTTTCTGTGATCACAGTGGGGATTTTGCGTAGGTACATCCTAAGTTTCATACAATTTGCTAGAAATGTTTGAGGGAACTAAAACAGTCCTTAGCATTGAGCTACTTCGCCCTGATGTTTATTACAAACCCTTTTCAAAGACCTAAAAATATGTGATGTATTAAAATGTATATTTGATGTTAATGTATTGTCATAAGTAACTATATATAATGAACAACTAAACTGAAAATGGGTCTTGGACAGAATCATATAACCCGTACCTGTAGTTAGCGCTCAAAAATAAGAAGTATGTTAGTCTTGTTAGAAGCTTCTTATTCTGGAATTCATTTGTCTTTTATAGAGAACAAAAAATCAGACCCTAAAAGGCCTACTCTAGGTAAAGAAGAACCTCCATCACAATCTATGTCCCCTGTCGTATCTATTCCTTCCCCTGTTACTCCTATTCCTTTTGCCACTTCCCTATTCCCTGTTACGTCTATATCTTCATCTATGTCCACTTCTGGACCTTCATCCTTATCTTCTTCAATAAATTCTGGACCTTTGTCCTTATCTTCTTCTGTCACTTCTCAACCTTTGTCCTTATCTTCCTCGGTCACTTCTAGACCTTCGTCGTTGTCTTCTTCGGTCACTTCTCGGCCTTCATCGTTATCTTCCTCGGTGACTTCTCAACCTTCACCCTTAGACCTTCGTCGTTGTCTTCTTCCTTCGGTCACTTCTCGGCCTTCATCGTTATCTTCCTCGGTGACTTCTCAACCTTCACCCTTATCTTCTTCAATAACTTCTCGACCTTCGTCCTTATCTTCTTCTGTCACTTCTCAACCTTCGTCCTTATCTTCTAGTTCTCGACCTTCGTTCGTCCTCCATAATTTCTAGACCTTCGTCCGTATCTTCCTCGGTCAATTCGAGACCTTCATTGTTATCTTCTTCGGTCACTTCTCGGCCTTCATCGTTATCTTGCTCGATGACTTCTCGACCTTCGTCCATATCTTCCTCGGTCACTTCTAGACCTTCGTCCTTTTCTCATCCTCCTTTCATTGATTCACCTTTTTCCACTAGTCTTTCTTCCTCACCTACCACAGGGCCCACCACTACAGATAGTGCGTCATTGAATACAACGATCAAGTTACCTTCAGGTACTGTATATATTGTATCTTACAAATGTTGGCTTTATTTTCCTTGATAAAGATGTGTTTAGGTATTGTTTTTTGACAGACTAGCTGTGTAGTTAATATATAATATACAAATAATGAATGTTTATGAGTGCAATGGTAAGAATATTTTCATGAGGTGAAAGATGGAATGTTTCACCCATTTAACTTTTGAGGGGGGAGGGGGGTGATTTTGAAAAAAAAATTTCCTGCAAGGCTATTCTGGACAAAAAAAAATACCTGCACTAACAAACTGGGGAAAAAATATCCTGCCCCAGTATTTGGTGGGAAAAAATGTTGCAAAACAGCATGGTTGCAGGGATCGATTTGACCAGTCCCAGAAGATCAGCTGGTTTGATTTTCAGGGACTGGTGTAAGGTTAATTTCTCGTTGGAAAACTCCTCAAAATGCAGGAAATAGCTTATCTGAGCTCAGTGGCGCCGTGGGACCCTTGTTTTTTTGGGAGGGGCCAAGGGCTGCACTTTTCCGACAAACCTGAAAATAATTTCCGACAGAAATTTTTCTGGCGACCCCGTCGCCAAAAAAATTTCGGTCAGTGTACCATTTTAGGGGTCAAAAATTTTTCCGGACCTACCAAAATTTTTCGTTACATCTTAAAATTTTTCCGGAAATCACCCATTTTCTCAATTTATCAAAAAATTTCCGAATTTACCAACGTCGGAAATTTTGCCAATTTCCGACAACGTTGTCAATTTTCAAAAAATTTCCGACAACATTCACAATTTTCCGACGGGTCTTCACGGTAGGGGGGGGGCATGCCTCCAGACCCCTCTAGAGGCTCGCACCTTCGGTGGTCGACTCAGTTGTTGCTGCCCTATGACGTATACTTATTAGTTAAACCATGCATATATATGCTGTAGGTAGCTGCAGTGATACAGACAGGGCTGTAGCAAGGGGGGTATTGGGGGTGGTTAACCCCCCCCCCCCCAACTTTTTTAGAATCAACATATTCAGAAAATCGGGTTGGCCATTCGGAAAATTGCGGCAATTATTTAATAGTAGAACAAAATTTTTGTTGTTAAACAGAGAAAATATTATAAAATTGTATTGTCACTATAAATTGTAAGCAAATTGTAAATTTCGTCATACTAAAACGCTTTTTTCTGACCATCAGCATTCTGTCAAAACTTCCCCCAAAGTCCAGGAAATGGCATTTCAGAGACTCGAAATTTCCTCGGGCCTCCGGCCCTCGTTTTCTGCCCCCAATAAACAAAAGCTCCCTACCGCACTGCTTCTGTAATATGTCTGTGCGTAAATTATGCATATTTTTGTTAATTGTAAATTGCGTCTTCATTTTCCGAATAGCAAACACCTTCATGGCTAATAGTATGCCATGATATATTCGGAAATTATTTTCGTCATTCGGAAATTTTTGGCCTACACCCCCCCCCCCCAACTATACATGCTAGCTACGGCCCTGGATACAGACTTGCCGACTGGAACTTCTCCAGGTCCCCCGCTAATTATGTCCTCTCCAGTTGCACATCCTTAAAAAAGGCACTGAACCAAATGTTTTTCCTCATAGCAAAATGTATTATTAAGAGCAATGCATGAAGCTAAAAAACTCAACGTTAACTATAATCTAAATAGTATAAGCTATTGAAAAAAAAATGCTGCGAAAGAAAGTGTGGCAAAAAAAAATCGTACATGGTGATGGTGATAAAAAAAATATCTTGCACATAACGATCCCAGAAAAAAATTCCCTGCCAGCAGTAAATCACCCCCCCCCCCCTCCCTCAAAAGTTAAATGGTCGGCCCCTTATATAATACCAGAGTGGACTAATAGATTTGTATGAGAAGCATTTTGAGGGATGTGATTTATCGAAAACACAAAGAGTACAATTGTACTATACGTTTTGTTCCATTGCACTCTCTGAGAGTGCAATGGAACGTGTTCCATTGCACTATTGGGAAATGGAATTTTCTATTCAGTATCACGTGACCATAAACAGCCAATTAAACGATCAGAATTCAATAAGGTATTATATAATACATAATTATGTATGTTTTTATAAGGGTTGTTGTTCCATAGTTGTTGAACTGGTCAAAGTTGTGGGTATCAGCAGTACCCATTGTAAATTGATCACGTAATCGTCAATACACGTTTTAGTGTTTCAAGTTTCACCTTGAGTTCAATATATGAGTCTCGAACCTCTTCTTATTTCAAATATTATAGCGAGGTTCAGATTTGACTACCGCTACCTTTCGCTGACCTTTTGCGCATGTGATTGGTTAATCGGCTAGATTTAAGGTATCCGATTGGTTAATGTTCTCTTAATGGTAGCGGTAGTGTTAACTAGTGGAAATCAAATCTGAATATCGCTATTGAGTCCAAGACGGTGTTGTTTTATAGCCGCTCTGTTACTGACTGTGTTACTATTTTTTATCATTTACTAGACGCTTTGGTTGTGGTTGACAACGGGAAGTGTGTCGCCGTTGGCAAATCCGTGCCTCTCACAAGTGTGCACGGTCAAATAGTCCCCGATACCCATAAATGCATTTTGTTGACCTGGGCTCAGGATAATTACCTCGCACCATTCCCATGTGGAAACAGGGATCTGAAAGAGAACTTATATTTTTCAAAAGACTCATTTTATGCTGTACCACGTACAATGTTGAGACAGCTTATTCGAAAGAATAACCAATATTCTCTTTCTCCAATTAGTTAAAGTTAGCTTGGAAGCATAGATGTCTTATATACACTAGATAGTGCATCTCTTTTAGTAAAATTGAAGCCAAGAATATTCCAGCGCTTTCCCCCATTTGAGTAGATGGCGGCCATGTTGGTCGTTAAACACTTTAAAACAACAATAACTTTCATCATTTGAATAGTTTAAAAACGTATTTGGAATAGGGTTAACTTAATGTTTAAGTTCCCTGTTTAAGAAATAGAAAACATACGAATCTTCTCATTTCATGGGAACGACATGTGACTGCAATCACGGCTTCAATTTTTAAATTGCAGAATAATTAGATGCACTGTCTAGTGTATATACTGTAAGATATCTATGCTTGGAAACCCTCATCACAATTTTTTCTCCATTTTTTCCTGGCTACGCCATTGGTGTCCATTCTTAGTGAATTTATCATAGCTAAATCGTATTCTAGGAATCTGTTCGTGTATATCTAAGGGAGCTTTCATTGGCCAAATTCATATTAGGGACGGGAAACTCGTCTAATTTATATCGGGGGGGCAGACATTTTCCGTCCGAACATTACCGTCTAACTTTACCTGTCCAAACAGACGATAAAGTTAGACGGGTATACCTACTATACCATCCAGACGAGAAACTCGCCTTCCTTCTAAAATTATCCGTCCCAAAATTCATATTCAGACGGGTTTTCCCAGACGTAGTTTCCCGTCCCTACTCCCTAATATGAATTTCAATTGCATGGCTATTATCATGTTGAGACTGGTCAGATTGATCATGAAACGCAAAACATTTGCGATTAGGATCCTTCAAATCTAATACACAGACAAAAATTTGGTCTCATCGGTCGGGTAATTGAGCGGAAATCGCCCTATACAGGGTGTCTCAAAAAAACCGCTACCCTTGGAAATTCACCATTCTAATTTGAACGCCTGAGTGCTATCTTGAACTCATGGGTGCATGAACAATTTAATTTAAGACAATAAATAGTCTTCGCTCTGTGCTAAGTTGAGCCATTTGCTTGACATTCACTAATATGTAATTGAACGATTTTCGTGCAGTTATACTTTTGTATGAACCTACTTTCAATTCCCAGGACAAACAATTTTGCTTTTCAAGGATATTTTAATTCCAAAGATCTTTAATATATGCATCCTGTGAAAATGTTTACGCATTTATGGCTTCAACAAGGTTCACGAATTCAAATTAGAACAATGGTGAATTTCTAAGGTAGCGGTTTTTTTGAGACACCCTGTATGTAGGATTTGTTAATTAGTATTTCAACAGTGTATAGGAACTTTTATGATATTTCAGATTTTTATATTGTATAGAATAACTAGTATATTTTATTAACTATTGTTATTAAAATACATTTGTCAAGCGAAAGTTGGCATGTAGAATGTTTAGATCTGCTCATTGCATTGATATTTGATTGATTAAAATAAGCAACCATTTGCTCTATAGAATCTCGAGGAGAGACACAAATTTAATTTGCATTGGAAATTGGGCTGCCACGTACACAATTAAGAATATATTTAAAACGTTATACAGGGTGTCTCAAAAAAACCCAAAATCATTGAAATTGACGTATTGTTCGATATTCAATGCCCTAGCACTAAGTTAATCCCACGAGTGCATAAAAGATTGACATAACTGCTATAATGAATGGTAATACTCAGCGTAAACTTGTTATGTCCGGCATAAAGTACTAAACCCACGAATGCATATTACGCATATTACAATTTACGAAGCATTTTTAAATTCCCATGAGCAAACAAACGTTCACTTTACAAAGATATTTTAATTTTTTAAAACAAATTAAACACCCTGTCAAAATCCTTTGTGTTACGGCATTGAAATTCGAACAATACGTTATTTCAATGATTTTGGGTTTTTTTGAGACACCCTGTACAGGGTGTATCAATAAAAACGCAACCTCGGAATTTCCTAAGAAATCACTTTGCAATTCTTAAGCATAAAAGATTTTAGGCCCCTGAGAATTGAAATCGAATTGCTAATAGATCATATTACTGTTGTTGTGCATTAAATAAATGCATAAATTTTGCTTTATGCACTCGCGTGTGCAGTAATTTTGACAGTTATGCTATTTTAAATTCCCAGGCCTAAAATCTTTTGTCTTTAAAACAATGTCGATTTCTTGGGAAATTCCGAGGTTGCGCTTTTTTTGATACACCCTGTAGATGGTTTTCAAAGATATATTTTACAAGTTCATCGTAACGTATATATTTGTGGTCCTAACATCAAAATTTTGTTTGTAATTTTCTAAAAGGCAAGTAAAAGCCGTGCCAATCTGGGTAAGGCAAAAAATGGGAAAATGCTATAAATTGCTGTTCTCCGAAACAAACTCCCAATGTTATCTTGTAAACTGTTAAAAATAACAAGACACAAAATTGGTTTGACTTCCGACAATAAAGTCGAAATATCACCAGAATTTTGTATCTTGTTATAATGTTATTTTAACAACTCAAGTTTGCAAGATAATGATATTCAGAGTTAGTTTAATTTCGTTTTACATTTCTTAAAATTATCTGCTGAAAAAGGATTTTAATTGCTCTTGAATGAACTTTCAACGAATTTTAAATGAACTTTCAATGCTGGCTGCATGACAAATTATCAGTTTTAGGTGTACACAACACATTTGCTATCTAAGACCTAGCTTTCACAACTGAAACAAAAATACCCCCATCGTATTGTGTGTGGTGCTCTTTATTTGTTACATTTATTTATGATATTCATAGAAGCATGCGCGTCTGTGAAATTGGGGTCGATTTCGTTATAGGGGTGTAGAAACACTGTATTTCGACGGTACATGTAGTGTAAAAGACAAACTTCGACATCGATTTACTGTCTGAAACTTTGCATGTCAGTTTAACTCTTTTAAAGCACGGCCATTAAAGTTAGTACGTGCACATACTAAGTCTGTTTCATTCATATGTTCGGTTCAGTAAACGTTATGTAGATGAAAATACCACCATTCGATTCAGTGTAAAAATATATACTAGTTTATAACGATAGTTTTAGTCAGTGGCTACATTGTAGCGATTGATAAGCTTTGAAAGTCAAACGGGCTTATATATGATCAAATTATGCAATATTACTAACAAATTATAAACATAGACATACCTTTCGCCGAACATAACTTCGGCCCCTTGAGACGTATGCTCATTCTTGTATTCTTGATGAATGAAGCAGTTAAAAATAACACGTATAGTGTTATTTTCAAGCTTCTATCTTTAAAACGTGAGTATTCTTAAATTTCAGGTCAGTCGAACAAATAGAAGTATGCAATGTGTGAAATTGGGGTCGATTTTGTCATAGGGATGTAGAAACACTGTATTTTGACGGTACATGTAGTGTAAAAGACAAACTTCGACATCGATTTACTGTCTGAAACTTTGCACGTCAGTTTAACTTGCCAATTGAAGTATCATACTGAAATTTCAGGTCAGTCGAACAAATAGAAGTATGCGATGTGTGAAATTGGGGTCGATTTCGTCATAAGGGTGTAGAAACACTGTATTTTGACGGTACATATAGTGTAAAAGACAAACTTCGAAATTGATTTACTGTCTGAAACTTTGCACGTCAGTTTAACTTGCCAATTGAAGTATCATACTGAAATTTCAGGTCAGTCGAACAAATAGAAGTATGCGATGTGTGAAATTGGGGTCGATTTCGTCATAGGGGTGTAGAAACACTGCATTTTGACGGTACATGTAGCGTAAAAGACAAACTTCGAAATCGATTTACTGTCTGAAACTTTGCACGTCAGTTTAACTTGCCAATTGAAGTATCATACTGAAATTTCAGGTCAGTCGAACAAATAGAAGTATGCGATGTGTGAAATTGGGGTCGATTTCGTCATAGGGGTGTAGAAACACTGTATTTTGACGGTACATGTAGTGTAAAAGACAAACTTCGAAATTGATTTACTGTCTGAAACTTTGCACGTCAGTTTAACTTGCCAATTGAAGTATCATACTGAAATTTCAGGTCAGTCGAACAAATAGAAGTATGCGATGTGTGAAATTGGGGTCGATTTCGTCATAAGGGTGTAGAAACACTGTATTTTGACGGTACATGTAGTGTAAAAGACAAACTTCGAAATTGATTTACTGTCTGAAACTTTGCACGTCAGTTTAACTTGCCAATTGAAGTATCATACTGAAATTTCAGGTCAGTCGAACAAATAGAAGTATGCGATGTGTGAAATTGGGGTCGATTTCGTCATAAGGGTGTAGAAACACTGTATTTTGACGGTACATGTAGTGTAAAAGACAAACTTCGAAATTGATTTACTGTCTGAAACTTTGCACGTCAGTTTAACTTGCCAATTGAAGTATCATACTGAAATTTCAGGTCAGTCGAACAAATAGAAGTATGCGATGTGTGAAATTGGGGTCGATTTCGTCATAGGGGTGTAGAAACACTGCATTTTGACGGTACATGTAGCGTAAAAGACAAACTTCGAAATCGATTTACTGTCTGAAACTTTGCACGTCAGTTTAACTTGCCAATTTGTTGAAGGGAGGAGACATACAAGACAAATCTACACATGTGGAAAAAAGTAAAAACGCAATCTCCTTGCATGGCCGTGGGATATAGAACCCCATGTTTAACAATTATACTATGAGCTCGAGTCGTACATGAGCTGATAGCCGACGAGTTGCGTAGCACCGAGTCTGCTATCAGCCATATACGACGAGAGCGAATGGTATAATTGTTTTATAATATAGTCTAATATAGCCATTAACTGAAGCAATAATTAATTATTCACTGTTACAATGTGTTGACAATTTGTTCGGCCAAAACCGCTTGAAAAACAGCTTTTGTTTTACAACTTGAAGTCGAAGTGAAAGAAATGGTTTTAGAACCTCCATATCTCACAACCACAGGAAAGCTCAGATATATATATATATATATATATATATTATACAGATGTTTGGTACTATAGTAAGTGCTTATTGACTGCAAATTCATTTGTCGTTCATTGCAACTTTTCTGAACAATTTATATTCTCAATGAAAAGTGTTTTTTTTCGCTGTTGTTTCGGTATTATTTCTTTAAAAAACTTGTATTTAAACTAATTTCTACGTAATAAATTAATGTATTTTGCTAACCTGTCAATTTTTTTTTGAGAGTTTTTCCTTGTACTATTATTTTTCTCACTTTCTCAAAGCGAATATTTTCCTTTTTTCTGCTTCGCAAACTCTCATGTAGTTTTCGGACCGCCATCTTGTTTTTCGCTACTCGCCGTCCTATATCTATGCTCGCCGTATATGAGCTGATATACGGCGAGTAATTCAACCAATCGGATTGCAAAACAGCTCATATACGGTGGATGATTATATTATAAAAATCAATATACGTTATCATAATTATTAATACAGGGTATTATCATGCATTTACATAATTTCTATTTAATTAACGCAGATTGTTTAGTCAGGACGTTTTACAATACAATAATCAACACTCAAAACAATTCATCAAAACGTTGTTCAGCATTTCCGTTATGAAATTCGTATAATCGTATGACATATCAAGCACCCTACGTATTCTTGGATACGACAAAGAAACACCAAGGCTTCCAGTCCCCCGACGTCATGTCGTATTAACTGCCCATTGGCAGGGGTATCATGGGGTGCCACCCACTCACTGTCGCTGGATTTTGGTGTAACTCGTGCTAAACTTAATCTTCATTATCGTCTTCAACAACTTCCTCGTTTTCTTCACGTGTCGCAATCTCTTCGTCATCCTCGTGATCTTCATCTTCGCTATCAATATATTCGTCGACATCCAACGTCCCGTCAATCGTTCTTTTAAAAACGGCAATCGCCTCTCTTATCATTTTCTTGCAGAAAAACATCCCGGATTTAATTAAAGCTGCTTCACCAGCCATGGCAAGTCGACTGCAACGCAATGCTCTATATTTTCCCTATATACATTTGTCACAAATAAAACGGTCAATGGAATAAAGGTTGATACAACTTACGTTAAATAGCGTCTAAAATGCTTTGATGTTCTCTCAATTTTTAAACTACTCGCCTGTTTATAGTGTTTACCTGTTCCGATTGTCGAATATCCTCGTCGAGATCCTCATCAAGCAAGTCGTCTAAAACCGGTAAGAAAATAGAATTATTCTTGAAACTGATATAAAGTATACATCATTTTTTGTATAAATAATGATTATCATGAGTGGTCGCCACTTTCAAATCTTTATTGATAAAACCATGAATGTTAACAACCAAACCTACAGTATCGTCACGCCTCCCTAGATGACTTCACTAAGGCCTGTTTCAAACTACGCAGGTTATACACAATAGATTATCTATTGCTTTAAACTTCACTCATGCAAAATTTCACACATGCCGTTTGCAGGGTTGCGCTAGATACAGTAGATTGGCTGAATAAATAAGCCAAACACCGTCATTAGTGATGCTAGGAAAACATTTGGAACAGGTCTCAATACTTAAATATTGCTTCACCAGATTAATATAACATTGTGTATAATTACGTATATTTGTATATCCATATGTACAAACCATTAACTATGGAACGTAATCGAGTATCAAGACTTGACAAGATGTTGTCTTTATAGTAACATAAAAATTTGTACATTTCGTCTTCCAAAAGACCCAGTTCTTCGTTTAGTCGTATGCCATTAAGGTGAACTTCAACGGGTTTTCTTTTTAAACGTAGCGATAGCGCCGCTAAATCATTTGAAGAAAACACAATTTTACCCAACTATTGAGTACTGTATAAATAAACAATTAGTCCTTCGTAACAAACGATATTTTGTTTTAAATGTTCACATATTCATGATTGATTTACAATCTAGTCCTAAATCGGATTGGTAATTGCCTGAGTCTGAGACAATGGAAATTATGACAGCTGTATGTTCAAACAGTACCTTTATTGTCTTGTGGGTCAATCCAAGGAAAATTACCGTCCAAAGCATTCTCAGATGTCACATCTTCAACTTCAAGATTTGTTTCCAGCAACCGGTTTACAATATTATATTGCGTGATAGAATCTTCAAGTTTCTTCTTTTCAAGAGCATTTTTGCTCCGCAATCTAGCCCTTTGTTTCGACGAATCTAAAACGTACCAACAGAACATAACTTTTAAATAATGAATGAGCAATAAATACGTACTTTCACTTTAAACATTAATATTAATAACTTCGACCACGGCTTAAAGTTTCGGTTCTTAAAGTTTCAATCTGTTAAAATAAACATAATTTTAACCTGCTAAGCGGCTAATATTTTTCTTTCGTTGTGAAATTGAAAAGCTTAACATTTCAATCCCTTCGCGAATAGAGATTCTTTTTCTTAGAGCCAAAAGGTTTCTCCCCTCCTGCAAGGCTTGCTGCTTTCCTAACTCATTCCCAAGTACACTCAAAGTCGACTCAAGGTTCTTCAATTTCTTCTCTTTCTTCTCCATGTCTTGATGTTTCGCCAAGGCTTGGGCATACATTTCAGAATTCCCGTCGTTTCTTTCGATCTCCGTTGCATCGCCAGCAACATCCAGAAACGGCTTCAAAGCGACAGCTTCCCGCACTTCGGTATACAGCTCATAGAAAGAAACAAGATCAGTTTCGCGCTTTGTCATCTCAAACTTCGACCCTGGAGAAAAACAAACAAGAGCGCGAAGTTATATAGTACGGGCGAACTAATTGGCCTTGTACCTAGGTAGGTTAGGTAGGTACATCACAGTACAGTACAGTACGATACAAGACTAACAAGAGCGCCCCCGCTTTCTATATAGTAGTTTGCGAGTTTGAAGCTTCCTACCAGCATGCACGATACCTCACTCACGCATTCGAATCAAGCATCTTCTAATGAATGAAATGTGTATAGTTACGTACGTTTCCCACACGCCGTTATTTCGGTAGCCCAATTTCCGAACTCTTCGCGACACGCTGAAAGGTTTAGCTCGTTTACCAGCTCATCAAGTTCCTTCGTATTTTCTTCTATTAACTTCTTTATCTGTCAGAAAATAATTAAATTATAAATATCAAGTAGTCTATTTTCATTCATATAAGAACGGCTACAAGTAAAACAAACATACGTAAACATATTTCTTGCAAAGACTGATGGGCAGTTTCAGAATCTTCAACTTGTTCCAGTGAAGTACATGTTCCGTCAGTGCTTCATTGCGACCTATTTGCATACAGAGCATTTTTAATTACTTAGCAGTTTTAAAAAAGTCAATGTAAATCATTTGAAAAAGTTGACTACACACTAAGTTTTCAAGCAAATTCGCGAAAACGAATATTCCATGAAACCCACAATTCGTACAAACTATGTACCTGCTGCATGCATGTATTTTGTTGTCGATCCCAATCTCGAGATGTAGCTGTTGATCTGTTCAACCTCTTCGCCTGCAGTGTACCCACTTCCAAGTTGCCAACGTCCACCCCACGTGACCTGAAAAATATGAACATTCGAAATATGTAACTAAGTATATATATATATATATATATATATATATATATATATATATATATATATATATATATATATATATATATATATATATATATATATATATATATATATATATATATATATATATGCAGTAGTACAGTACGGCACAGTCAAATTTGATATCCGATTCTTCAATTTGAATGATTCTCCTTTTATCAAACTTTCTTTAAATTTGTTAAAAAATACCTGGCACGACCAAACATGAGCTTTACCATGCATGATAGAGAGGGCTGGTGCCATCGAAAAGGCTTCGTCAGGTGACAAATCTTTAGGAAGAGAAGTAAACCAAGGCCAGTATTTACAAATCACATCTTGCCATAGGAACTTAACATTATGGTGAACGAGTCTGTTGATCTGCAAATAATGTGTGTAGCCATACAGTTCGCCTTGATGCATATTTACAGCACATTGAGCCAGAGAATGTCGACAGCCTGCTACAACAAGACCAGTTTCATCTAGTTTGGATTGACGATTGATTGTATTTCTCGCAGCTTTCCAATGAGATGAACCACAGTAGGAATTATTCGAGTGACCCTGGAAATATTGAATATTATAATAATACAGTATTATATATGTTTTGCTACATTATAATAGAATTGCAAAAGTCTCTTCTGCAAAATTTGTGACCATCATGCATCATTACACTCTTCACGATTCTTCACATATCATGATCATACTTTAGCTGATTTGTTTGAATAAATTTTGTTCAAGTGTTCCTCTACAACTTCATCATCTTCAATGAATGTATTTTCATAATAGCATTTCCTTTCACCTCTATAAACAAATTCAAATCATATTATTAATAATTATTGACTTAGGTAAAGTAATTTTTAAAATAACATGTTACAGGTACTGTACTGTATAGTATTAATATCTCGAACGTTGGGTGCCAGTGTACTAAGGTAAATGCATGTATTCTTCAGTAAAGCGTCTGTGTTAATGAGAAGGACAACCTGGACAATATTGAGAAAACTTCGACATTTTGAGCGTCTATCTCATTAACACAGACTCTGAGGTTTTATTGTATAGTATTCTTTGTGTTAATACAGTAGATCTCTTAAAGATGGCACAAATGAACACAATTGGTTTGCCTATCTCACTATCACACACCTTATAAAGAAATCTAACAGTATATTAGCCAGGCCACAATACAAATACCTTGGCACAGATTTGTATCTGTAAAGTTTAGCATTCCCATCAACATGACAAGAATGTTGAGATCCAAAACAAGATGGACAATCTGCCCATTGTTTTCCTTGTAAGACGTCAAGTTCATGCATGGCAAAACACCATTCTTTAAACGCACGATGAAACACTGATGTATTAATGATGGCTGACTGTAAAGTTAATTATAAAGAAAATATTTTTTTTTAGACCACTTTAAATAATGAAATTTATTCTAGTGTCAAATACCACCTGAGACATGTGCTTTGCATGTATATCAATTTCAAATATTCCCTGCATGCCAGAGATAGGAATTTTCTGTTGGAGCTGGAGATTTTTGGCCGTAAATGGAGAGGTGAAAAAAAACAGAGTTTGCATTACAGCCCTAAATAATGGTAAACATCTGGTTTCTGGGATGGATATCTGGTATAGCAATGATTTGCTAATTGTATTATTAATTTATTATTTGTATGGGACTACAGTAACCTGAGTACTATGATTTACTAACCCTGCCCTTTTCACTAGATATGGA